AGACCCTGAACTTAGTTCGTTAGTTACGATAAATTGAAATTTATTATTAAACGCTCTCACTTTACGCGCGTTTTTTTTTTTTTTTAATTTTAAAAACGCGCGTTTCTTTTACGTAAAACAAATTTTATCACCTTCTTTTTAAAATGTGAGACTTATCGTCGTCTCCTGTCTGTCTCATTATTATCTTTAGATTTCTATTGAGAGGAACGAAAAAAGGAAAAGTACGTCGTCGTCGTCGTACTTAACATGATATCGATTTAATCGATTAATCGATTCGATTAATCGTTAATATTAATCTTATTTTCCTTCGAAAAATTTTCCTTTCTTCGTTTCCTTCGTTTTTGTTTAAAACTAAAAATTTTCAAAAACCGTCGTCGTCGTTGCCGTCGATTTTGACATTATCTTTTCGAATGGAGTATTTCCGTATTGTTTGTTTGTTTGTTGTTTGTTCTTTGTTTGTTTGTTTTTGTCGTTAGGGTCAAAGTTACCGTTTTTAATAATTTTTAAATAAAAAAAAAAACCCAAAGTTTAAATATGTATTGAAACCGTTTAAATTTTCAATTTTGTTATTGATGATAACGTAAAAACCCTTTTTAATGTTTTGTTTCTAAATGTTTTCGCGGCCACCATCGGGATTGTGTTTCTTTCCTTTCTTCTTCTTTCCCTCCCTCTTTCACGGATCAAAAGAGAGAGAGAGAAAGAGAGTTCAAACAATCAACTTCCTTTTGTTTTCCTTCTTTTCCTTTTTCGAGAAAAAAAAAAAAAAGGAACGTACGACCATTCAAAATTCATTTCAAAATTTATTATCATTATTATTATTATTATTATTATTATTATTATTATTATTATCATCATAAAATCCTTTTGTCTTCCGTAAACTCATAATATTTTCGAATTATTTCAAAGTGTAGTAGTCTATCTTTCTCTCTCTCTCTCTCTCTCGCTAATAAATTGACTCTTTGTTTGTCCTTTAATATTTTCCACCATAAAATTATTAATTATTTACCTTTACGTCATCATAGTCGTTTGATTTTTTTTTTTTAAACTTCCGGTTTGATTTTGTGGTTGTTTGTGTTTGTTGTTGTTGTTGGGGGGGGGGGAAGGGAAGAGTATAGCGACATCTATAATTAATTCCGAATCGTTTAATACGTTTAAAAAGAAAAAAAAATGAAATTATAAAAAATTAACACCACTACGATCGGTGGTTGAAATTTTGGTTTGCCTTCCATTAATCAAATGTTAAATTTTTAAATATTCATGAATATAAAATATAAAATAAATTTTCCTTTTTTTTTGCTTTCTTTGAACCCTGTATTCCCCTCCCCCTCCCTCTCCCTCTCTCTTACTCACATTCAACTCTCTCCGTTAATTTTTTTTTTATACGTGTATTCGTTCTGGAAAAAGGAGGGAAAGAGAGAGAGGAAAAAAAAGGTGAGAATACCTGATTTTTTTTCTACCTGCGATCATGCCATCATTCGATTTGTTGAACACGACTGACGTCAGCGATAAGAATAACGAATAGAAAGAAAATGTCACTGATAACAATTTCTAGTAATCCTTTTCTATCTCTCTCTCTCTTTCTCACTGTGTCTCTTTTGGGCTTTTTCTTTTTTTCTTCTCTCTATCATCCTGTGTCAATTTTTGGGCTTTTTTTTCTCTTTCTATCTATTTTTTTTTTCTCTTTCTATATTTCTCTCTGTGTTTGTAACTTTCTGTGTCTTCTCTCTCTCTCTCTCTTTCTATCTATGTATGTGTGTATGTAATTCTTTGTGCTTTTTCTTTCTGTTTCTTTTTCTCTCTTTATCTGTCTGTCTTTCCTGCCTCTCTATATCTTTCTCTCTCAGTGTCTTCTCCCCCTCTCTCTTTCTCTCCGTGTATAACTTTCTGTGTCACTACTTTTCTCCTCTTTTAAGAGAGAGAAAGAAAAAATTTCTTTTAAAAACGTTAAAAATCCAACATCGTCGACGTCGACGACGTCACGTTTTCATTTACACTTTAATGAGAAAAAAAAAAAAAAAAATTTCACCTTTCAAGGCAGCCAACGTGAGACGAAACAAAAAAATAAGAAGCAAAATAAAAAAAAAATTTCTCACGGTTATAAAAAAAAATTAAATGAAAATAATAATAATAATAACAATAATAATGATAATCAAAAATCATGAACGTAACATTAAACCATTGACATAATTAACACGACGAGGAGGACGACGACAACGAGCGAAAGTTTTAACAATTTTGAAAAGATAGACAGATAGATAGATAGATAGATAGATCAACAAACAAACAAACAGACAACAAATAGACAGACAGACGGATAGACAGACGGACGAGCAAAAAGTAAAGTCATTATAATTAATTTAATACGAAAAAAAAAAAAAATAATAATAATAATAATTTTTTTGCAAAGTAATTTGCAAACCAATTTTCATTTTTGTTCGTTTGTTGAAAACAACGTGAAAAACATAATCGAAAAACATTAAAAACATTAAAAACATAAACACGCGCGTTCGTATTCAAAAAAAAAAAAAAAAAAAAACGAAAGTCAAGTTCAAAGACACGATCGACCTTTGTTTGATTTTTAATTTTAATTATACCCGAACGTTTGTAACTCACGATTCGTTAATCAAAGAAAAAAAAAAAAAATTTTTTTTTTCTCGAATGTTTACGCGCGCGCGCGCGTGACGCGTTCGCGACGGGTTTACGCCGCGTAAAAAATCGAAGAAAAAAATAAATAAAAAACAAATTTAATACGTTAATAAAATTTAAAAAAAAGAAAAAAAAAACGCGCGAGTTATATAATTTTATTAGCAATCGCGTAATTTTTCTTTATATATATATATATATTTTTTTTTTTAAACGTGGAATCAGAAAAATTTTTTTTCACTCGTTACACGAAAAATGGATTTTTTTTTTTATTTTACGACGACGGTGAATGAATTATAAATGAAAATGTAAACCCGCACGCACGCACACGCACACACACAGACCGTGTGATACCGGAAGATTTAATAGAGAGAAAGAGAGAGTGAGAGGAAGAGGAAGAGGAAGAGAGAGATAGAAAAAAATTACAAAATGAATTTTTCGTCTCGTCAAAAAAAAAAAAAAAAAAAATAAAAAAAAATAAATTGAAACAAACTTTTCGACTCTAAATAATCCACTTTTTCTTTCTTCTTTATTTTCATTCCAGCAAAAAAAAAAAAAAAAAAAAGAAATTGAATATAAAATTCCAGACGAATTTTTATTATTTTCCCCAACTTTAAAAAGAGAGAGAGAGAGAGAGAGAGGAGGGAGGAAGAGAAAGAGAGAGAGAGAGGAATGGGGGGAAAAAAATTAATGGATTCATTCGGTAAAAAAAAAAGTAAAAAAAAAAAAAATTCACGTCATTTTTTTTTATGGTCACGTGGTGACCAGAGAGTCAGAGATGAAAAAAGGGAAAACCGAAGGGTGGGAAAAGGAAGCTCGAAAAAAAACGAGGAGGGGATATGGGAGGGGTGACAGTTAATCCCACGTGAAAATAATTCGCAAAAAAATATATATTTATAATTTAAGAAAATTGTTCGATTCCCAAAAGAACGTGGCGGAAGAAAGGGGAAAAAAAAAAAATTTGGTTATTGGTACGATCCTCGTATATTTGACCCTTGACCGACTCTAATGTCACCGTAACAGCACCAACAGCATCAACCAATCCTTCTTCTTCCTTCATTCTCCCTGGAATCCCCCCTGGATTCCTTTCGTTCCCAACGCAACAAACGCATGAAAAAAAAACGCGTGAACAATTTTTTTTTTTTTTAATCAAAACTCCTGGAAAACGAACGGACTGGAATTACAGGAAATAAAGAAAAAAATATGGCGTCGATTCACAATTTGATAATATCCCAAACAAACAAACAAACAAAAAATTTACGCGGCGTAATTTCAAATCCCATGAAATCGCATACATTTCATAAACAAATTTTAAATTATTAATAATTATCGACGGATAAAGAAACAAAATAGTAAACTGGAAAATATATCTGAGGTCGATCAAACAATCAATCAATCAGGCAATACCAACAAATTACAATTTTTAACCTTTGACCTCAAAAAAAAAATTATCATCATCATCATAGTTATTTTTTTTTTTTTTTTCAATTCGGATCCCGATTATTAATTTTAATACTAATAACAAAATTTTTACTTTCACTTATTATTATTATTATTATTATTATTATTATTATTATTATTATTATTATTATTATTATTATTATTATTATTATTATTTACAATCACTTTCGATTACCTTGCGTGAGTACGCGCGTTTTTACGCACGCACGCACACACGCAACTTGTAATCATACGCGATAAGTTTATCAAGTTTGCAATAAAATCGTCATGAAAACATCATCATGCGAACTTTTACGTCATTATTCACGTCATATAAATGCGTGTACGTGTGCGTGTGCCTGCGTAGATGCGTGCGTTTGTGATTGAAAGGTTGTCGTCGTGTTTGAAAAAAACTCAGAAAAACTGGAAAGGAAAATTTCCAGATAAAAAAAAAAAAAAGAAAAAAGAAACACAACATGCACAAATTTAACTCTATTCCATTCCCGTTCCATAACGTTGAGGTTAACAACATCATTATTTGATTTTTTTTTTTTTTTTACTGGAGAAAGAGCGAGAGTGAGAGAGAGAGAGAGAAAGATTTGTAACTTTATCTCTCTTTTTCCTTTTTTTTTTCATTCTCCAGCAAAAAAAAAAAACTAATTACAAAGTTATCGATTAAACGTAAAAATATATAAAAAAAAAAAACTTTTTTTGTGAAGATGTGAAAAATGCGTACAGAGACGAGAATGAGAAAAAGTCGTTGGGCGTTTGCGGAGGGGGAGGAGAAGGGGGAGGAAAAATGAAGAAAAGGAGGCGGGGGAAAACTCTGGAAAATTTTTTTTTTTTTCCAGAGAAAATATTCTTCTTAAACTTATAATTCTTATATTTTAAGTTAAATAATAATAAAATCGAAAAAGATGAAAATGAGAAAAATGTGGGGGAGGGGGAGAGATTGGAGTGAGAGAAAGAGAGAGAGAGAGAAGAAGAAAGAGAGAAAAAACTAAACTAAAAAAAAACTTTTTTTATATATTTTCTTTTTCTGGAGAAAGAGAAAAAAATTTTTTTTTTCCAGAGCGCTTCTTAATCAACGATTAATTGATATAATTAATATTTTCTTTTTCGGATCAGTAAACCGTCAAAAAATTGATTATGAACTTTTATTATTATTATTATTTTTTCTCCGTGATTAAATCCTCTCTCTCTTCCCTCCCTCCCTCCTCCCTCTCTACTCACTCATTAATTCCCGAATATTTTTTTTTTTTTCAGTCTTTCTCTCTTATGATTTTTTTTAACGAACGGATACAAAAATTTTAATTTAAAAAATTTTGAATTTTACTCCCCCCCCTCTTCCCTCTTCCCTTGCAAAAAAAAAAAAATGGACGCCACATCGTGCATTTGATTCACATTTAATTGGAAACGAAAAATTAAAAAAGAGTAAAAAAAAAGAGAAGAGAAGAGAAGAGGAGAGAAGAAGAAGTAGAACAAAACGAAATTCTAAAAACTCCTGGAAGGGTTTTTTTTTTTTTTTTTAAAACGTATCGGCTTTGTAAATTTTTTTTCTCTCTCTCTCTCTTTCTCCAGCTCTATTTCCTCTCTTTCTCTTTCTCTCTCTCTCTCTCTCTCTCTCTCTCTCTCTACTCATATTCAGTAAAGTCTCTCTCTAATGTTATTTTTTCCGTTAATTTTTTTTTTTTTTTTGGTTTTAACACAAACACAAAAAGTTTACGTATAACGATGGGTAATGATAATAATAAAATTTTTTTTTTTTCGTTCGAACCCCCTCTCTCCCTTCCCCCTTTTCCTTTCAAAATTTTTCCGTAAACCCCTTCCCCCCTTTCGAATAAAAAAAAAAAAAGAAAAAATGACCCAAAGCGACTCTTGTTTTTTACTTTTAAATTGATAAATCAAATATTAAAAAAAAAAAGAAAAAAAAAACAAAATGGCCGAACAAAGTTTTTTTTTTTTTTTTGTACGGCGAGCGAGCGGTTACAACAAATGTGATGAAAAAAAAAAGCCTGGAAAAAGTAAAAGAAGAGGGAGAGAGAGAGATAGAGAAAATTACTCTAAGCGAAAATGAAGAGAAATACAACTCACAAAAAAAAATCTTTTAATTTGAAAAAAAAAAAAACTTTCCATAGAGTAAAAAAAAAAAAAAAAAACAACCATGAAAAGGCAGATTGTAAAGGTTACCGTGTTTAGCTCGCGGACTCCATGCAAATGACAAAAAATTACTCGAGGCTCAAAACCTTATTTAAAAAAAAAAAAAAAATTGTTTTAATGTTTTTTTTAATTCAACTACAAAGAGGTCTTTAAACCTCCCCTTCCCCTCCCCCTTCCATCCATTACCAACGCCACCACCCTCCGACACCACCGCCGTTGATGCCACCACCATCACCATCATCACCACCACCACCGCATTTCGTTACGAGCTTTTTACTCTTCTCTTTTTCTTCTTCTTCTTTTTTTTTCCATCTTATTTAACCTCTTTTATTTTTTTCCCCCTTTCCCACCCTCTTCCTCTTTCTTCCTCTTTTTTTTTTCGCAGTCGCCCTGGAGCGTAACCCATTTTATAATTTCTTTCATTTAAATTTTTACGTTCTTTTAATTTTTTTTTCTTCTTCTCCTTCGTCTTCTTTTTTTTTGCCTTCTCTTTCCAAAACAAAAATTACTGATATATTCCAGTTGCTTCCAGGTATTAACTCACCTGAAAAATTTATTTTAACCAATTTTAATATGCAAATACAATTTGATTTTTCTTCTTTTCTTTTTTACTTTTTTCTTTTTTCTTCATTTTTTTTTTTTTTCTAAGTTGAAATATTTAAATAAGAAAATAAAAAAGGTTCGTATAAATTTTATTCTTCTTCTCCTTCCCTTCTCTCTTTCTCTCTTCCTCTTTCCCCCCCTCTCTCTTTTTCGTTTTCTGACAACTTTCTCAACGACGACGAACGATTCGTATTCAATTATAAAAATTGAAGTTTATTTTCCATTTCAGTCATCATTGAGATATAAATAATTTTTTTTTTTCTTTTTTTTTTTCAGATAACATTTTTTATTTTACTCTTCGGATTGACCGTGACAACAAAATCTTCTTTGGTCAATGATGTTAAAGATATCAAAACGAAATTAGATGGTATAAACGATGACGTAGTAGTCAATTCCAGCAGCAGCAGCGTTGTGAAAAGGCAAAATGCCGAAAGGAGAGAACATTCATTTAATTCCGATGGAACTGTTAATTATCACGGTAGCGGAAGCGGTCACGATTCCGGAGATTTATTACCACCTTCCGGTCATGGAGGTTATTCAAGTTTGGGTGGTTCCGTATCGATTCCTTCGGGATCCTACGGCGTGCCAAAATTTAACGTCGGCCGTACGAAACCTTCGGGTTCGTACGGTCCTCCCGTTAAAAATCCTTTTAGGTTTCCTAAAAATACGTATTCTGCTCCTCCTCCAAAACCTGTTTACGGACCGCCTTCTTATAAACCCTCACCTCCGCAATCTCCAAAACCGACTTACGGAGTTCCTCATGCTCCGATATCGAAACCTTCTTTCAGTCAAAGACCCGTACCCGTATATGGACCTCCGAAATTTTCCGTGGGAACGCAGTTAAGCGTGGTTAATAATTTTAATTCTCACAGTGGTCCGCCCAAGATCAATCCCACGTACGGAACTCCATTGTTACCAAGTTCATCGTATGGACCACCGAGTTCGTCTCATATTTCAAGTGACATTCCAAATTTGAAGTTTGATGGCTGGAAACCGATACCTGGAATTGCAGCAAATGCTCCGAGTAGTTCTTACGGAGTTCCGCATCATGGTGGCGGTGGAAATGATGGGGGATTTTTCGGAGCTACTGCAGGTGGTGATTTGAGCAGTCACACTGTCTCTAGTACAATTCATAGTTCCTCTCATCATTCGTCTGCGTCGTTCGGTACCTCTTCATTTGGAGGCTCATCATTCGGTTCTTCTGGCTTAGGAACTTTATTACATTCTTCAAATTCTTTTGGTTCGTCGTCTAAACCAAGTACCTCTTATGGTACTCCTCTTAAACCTAGTTCATCATACGGTCCTCCAAGTGGTTTTGGATTCTCTAGTGGTGGATCGGTATTCTCAAGCCACTCCCACAGACCTAGCACCGTTTATGGTGTGCCTAAAAAGCCCAGTAATCATTTCAGCTCATCCGGATCTTTTAATTTTGGAAAACGTCCTAGCTCATCTTATGGTCCCCCGAAACGCCCTAGTTTTTCTTATGGCCCTCCAAATTCTTTGAGTAGCTCTTATAAAATTCCATCAACTTCTTTCGGCTCATTTGGTGGATCGGGATTTTCATCAAGCGTATCTTTCAAACCGTTAAAATCCCCAAGCAGTACTTACGGCCCTCCAAAACCATCAAGTTCTTACGGCCCTCCACGACCTTCCAGTTCATATGGACCCCCACGTCCAATAAAACTACCTAGCAGTTCTTACGGTCCACCTAAACCACCAAGTGTTTCTTACGGGCCACCAAAACCGCCAAGTATTTCCTACAGGCCATCAAAGCCTTTAAGTAGTTCTTACGGTCCCCCAAAACCTCCAAGCAGTTCTTACGGTCCGCCACCAAAACGACCAAGCACTTCGTATGGACCTCCAAAGCCTTCAAATAACTTTTTCAGTCCCAAACCACCTAGTATTTTGTATGGAACACCTAAACCACCAAGTATATCTTACGGCCCCCCATCTGCTCCTGGTAATTCTCAATTTCTATCAAAACCGTCAAGCAGTTTTCACAGTTCTGCTCCAAGCAGTTCATACGGTCCTCCCGTTTCTTCTCACGGCTCATCATTTCCGATTAATTCAATTAGTAATTCTTATGGACCCCCAGCTTTTACATCATACAAAGTTCCAAAGCCCAGCCATTCTGTAACGGTTCCACCAAACACATCGTACAGAGGTAAGCAAACATTTAAATGATAAGTTAAAAATTTATGAATTACAAAATTTAAAAAAAAAAAAAATTAATTTTAGGTCCGCCCGTGCCACACCCACTTCAACCTCCGTCTTTAGGATCATCCGGCTTTTCCGAAGGTTTATATAAAGCACCTTTGGCTCCCAATATACTATACGGAGTTCCAGCAGAACCAGGTTGCTGCGGAGGAGGAGCAGGTGTTCAAACGGGTGTTTCAGGTTTTGGAAGTGGTTTCGGAGTTCCTGCTTCAGACGTTCACACTTCAATCGTACCATCAATCAGTTTTGATTTGCCAGTGTCTACTATAAGTCCCAGTCAATCTTACGGTCCTCCCACATCCGCTGGTCATTTGGGGCCAAGCAACATTCCTCCGACGACTTTACCTTTATCACAGCCTAAAAAACCAGTAAAATTTCGTCCTCCGGTACCTGACGGTTTAATTTCGTCGATAGGAGCAAAATGGGGAAATACAGGAGTTTGGGGTGGTTCATCGCATTCGCATCATCACCACAGTAACACCTACATTCCACCTGCGGTTCCAGACCCCGATCCCGGCACCAAAGGAAATAAAGAAAATCCACTCATCATACCGCCTCCGACAGCTCCACCAGTTCAATACGGTCCTCCTGGATACAGCGGAGGACACGACGTACATCATCAAGCTTCGACTCATTTTGATTCATCGGTCGCTTCCAACGCACTTGAAGGAAATTTCAATACGTCTCCTTCACCGCAGCAACAACAACAACCAGAAACTTACGAACCAAGTGCAAGTCCTAATGTACACAACGACATTCAAAGAATACCCATTCAAGGATCACAAGGTCGATACACTCTCGAAATTCAAGCATCGGGAGGAAACACGGGTCAGCAAGTACCGCACGGAGAAGTTCTTTCAAACGGTTTACTACAAGATATATTAGCCGCAATAGAAAATCCATCAGAATCTGTGAAATTGCAACAATACGGTGGACAACCACAAGTTAGCGATCCCGTCGCCAACGAAATCGGAATGACGGTACTCAAACAACTCGGTGGCACCTTAACGCAAGAATCCATCGGAATTCAACTACCCACGCAATACGGCAAAGATCTTAGCCACGCATCATCGGACAATTTACCCGATTACAGATCGACAAACATCCAAACGGACAACGACTCGAGCGAAAGTTCTTCGACGTACTACAATTCAGAAAGTGGAGCAACTCAAAGCGACGACTCAATTTCGAATCAATCAAACAACAAACAAATATCTTTTTATTACAATAACGAAAACAATCAAAGCAACCGAGAAGGAAATTCGCGAAGCGACAACAAAAATTTATTACTAGTACAAACGCCGTCATCGAACAATAATAATAATAATAATAAAAATAATAATAATAATTCAACGACAAACTTCTCCCGATCGGAAACAAACGATTACGATGGAAATTTGTCACGTTTTCAATCGGAAAATCATCAACAACAAGGTCGCGACGAATCGGAAAATTCATCCATTGTTTTTAATGAATCGCAAAATCGCGATAAAAAAAGATCGCTCTCGTCTTAGCCTCCTCTTACATCGAATTCGAGTCTTATTTAAAATTATTTAAAAATTTAAAACACGAGGATTGCCAACGTTAAAAAAAAAAAAAAACCGGGAAAATTTGACCCTTACATATATTATGTACAAACAAACTTTTATCAGATACCTCATAGAAACTTACAAACAGAAAAAAATCATCCATCAAAATAAAACCATTGCCAACTTTTTTTTTTTTTTTTATCAAACGGTTTGCGTTTTAATTATTTTTTTACATTGGCAATCCTGTTTTGTGTTATCATTAATGCCATAAACGTTATATACAATGTCGACGACTTTATTACTATTTTTTTGTTTGTTTGGTTGTTCGATTCACGCAAGACTAACAAAAATTTTTTTTATTTTTTAATTAAAAAAAAATTAAATGCTCAGTTAACGCGTGTTTAGTATAAGATATTATTATTATTATTATTATTAATATTATTACTAGCAGTGAAAAAAAAATTTAAAAAAAAAAAAGAATTAAAAAATGGCGGCGAACAATTGTTTGCTGTTTTTTTTTTATATATATAAACATTAATAATTATTAGTATATATATATATTTTTTTTAAAAATATCTTCTAGTGTTTGTCTGTCTGTCTATCTGTTAGATGACTAGTCAACCTAGCATTATTATTATTATTATTCATAAATAAGAAAAAAGAAAAACATTGATTTTTTTTCTTCTTCTTTACTTTACTTTTTTTTTTTTATTATGTGTTTTTTAACCGGTGAATAGAAAAAAAAAACGATCACGTGACAATTTTAAATTTCGCTCACAAATCATTTATTTATTATTAATATATATATATATATATATATATATGTATACCTATTGAATTTATAAAAAATTTATTGTTTACTCTTTTGTCCTTTCTGATTTTCCAGAAAAGTTTTTCCGAAACGGTCAAAGGTCAACCGTGAAAAACAAAATTCTCCTTCCACGAGTTTCCACAATTTTTTTTTAATTGATCGAAAAACGGGGGAAAATTTTGTATGGGAAAAAAAATTTAACAGAGAGAAAAGAGAGAAAGAGAGAGAGAGAGAGAGAGACAAAATGGCGACGATTATTACCAAAAAAAAATAAAAAATTTTTTCCCGAAATTTTTTTTTTTTTTCATAGTGACTCTCTAATTCTTATAATCCTTCCACCTTTTATTTTTTTTTTGTCAAGGGTGAATAAAAAGAGCGGGATTATCTTTCAAAATGGCGGCCATTTAAAAAAAAAAAAAAATTATTACGGATAAATTTTAATTTTTTTAATGTACTCGGCACGGATCGGAAAAAAAAATTTATTATTATTATTATTATTATCATCATCATCATCATCATCGAATCGTTTTCCTACGAAAAAACCGGAAAATTTTTTCTTTTTCCTTTTTTTTTCTAATCGCAATTTTACGTCGTGGCAAAAGAACGATTCGTATTATACTTAAAAAAAAAATTAGTACCTGATTTATCCGAAACCTTAAAAAAAAAATTTATTTAATCTTCCCTTAAAAAAATAAATAAAATTTTTTGGGGGGAGGAAGGGTTAGAGAGAGAAAGAGGAGGGGGGACTTTTCAAAGAAAGCTTGCTTGCTTTATCGATCAAATTCTTTTTTTCTTTTTTTTTTTTTTGATTAAAAGCAAACAACTAACATCTCAGGAGACGACGACGACGACGACGACGAAAGAAGAAAAAGAAAAAAGAGAAACAGAGAGAGAATGAGAGGGGAAGTAAAAGATGGGAAAAGAAAACGACGCGACGAATCTAGAACCTTCTAGAAACAAAAAAAAAAAAAATCAAAAATCATTTTTCAACGTAAAAAAAAAAATATTTTTTTTTCCCTCATTTTTGTTCAGAATAACATCAGGTGTTTCTTTTTCTTATCCTCCGTGTGTGTGAGAGAGAGAGACAGAGAGAGAGAGAGAGGATTCCTTAGAGAGTAAAAATTTTTCTGATTAATTAAAAATGTCAAAAAGGCTAATGGTGGAAAATTCACTTTTTTGACAAAGCTCAAAAAACGCTTTTTTTTAACACACACACACACATATATATATATATATATATATATATATATATATCACGTGCTCTCATACCTCCCCCTTCCCTTTTTCCCTTTTTTCTCTTCCACAAATTTCCCGAACCGAAATTTCATTCCCTAAAACATCGTTTTTCCTCCCGTCTCTCCTCCTTTTTCCCACAGCGAAAACATTTTCTTCTTCTTTCCCTCACTTCACGTATATACGAATTATACCCACAAAAAACTCCAGGAAAAAAAAAAATTCGATTTCTGAACGTACTCTTAAAACCGTTTCCCCTCTCCCCTTCCCTCCGTCACCCCACTCCTCTCCACTATTATCGATTTCAAGGTCAAAATTTAATAAAAAAACCTCCCGATTGAAAAAAAAAAATTACTAACGACGTCACTCACACATTTTCCTTTTTTTTTTTTTGGGCGCGTAAAAAAAAATTAAACCGGAAATGGCTTTCGCGAATAATGATGATAATAATAACTCATCGCATATTCAACCGGAAATGGCATTATATTAATATTATAATTATTTTAAATAAAAAAAAGAATGGGAGGGGAAGAAACAAAAAGAAACTCAAAACAAAAAATTAATTATTTAATTAATTTAAAAAGAAAAATTTTTTTTAGCGTAAAACGACAACAAATCTAAAACCACGACGAAAGTTAATAACAAAAAAGAAAAAAACTTTTTATTTCGAGCCAAAAACAAAAAAACAAAAAAAAATTTTTTTTTTTTTTTTTTTACGCGTCATTTTTTTGAAAATGAAAAAACAAAAGCGAGGAAATGTAATTTTTTTTTTTTCCATTTTGCGGGGAGGGAGCGAGGAAGGGAGGGAGAGAGAGAAAGAGAGATTAATAATAACCCGAGAAGGGTTATGGTACATGATTAAAGGTTTACAATTTTTAAAACAATTTTAGGGGATGAAATCACCCTTTAAAAAAAAAAAAAAAAATTTTTTTAAAAAATATAAATAATGAAGTAATAAAAAATGAATAATGAACTGAATTATTATTACTATTATCATCTATCAACAACTTTTCTTTCTATTCGCTTCATTTAAATATTTTACGGCATTAAAAAGAGATAGAGATAGAGTATGTGTGTGCGCGCGTGTGTGGAAATAAGAAAAACAAAGTTCCCGAGTGTCCAAGTTTCTTTTCTTTTTTTTTTTTTTTCTCTCTTTTGTCTTCTGCTTAAAAAAAAATTCAAATTCACGATGCAAAACATTTTTTCTTTAACTTGGTAAAAAAAAAAAAAAAAAAAAAAGGTCGAGTCAATTTATTTTCACTTTTTCTTTTTCCATTTTCTCCCTCTCCCCCTTTCTCCCTTTTCCATTTTCTTTTTTCTTTTTTTTTGTATTCTTATTTATTCCAAAAAAAAAAAAAAAATATATAAAAGAAAAAAAAAAGAAAAAGAAAAGAAAAAGAAAAGTAAAAGTGTCAAGAATGGGTAAGAAAAAAGAAAAAAAAAATTTTCCCCTTTTCCTTTGCATTTTCCTTTTTGTTTTGTTTTTAAATATTTTCAATTCGTACCTGGTTTCGTTTCCTTTCGTCTCTCTTCGTTACCCTTCGACACTTTTCGGTTTTTGACGTGCTCTTGAGATTTTTCATATCGACTTGTTTATATGATTTTTACTTTATTTATTTATTTTTATTTTCTACTTACTTTATCTGAAAAAAAAAGAAAAAGAATGAAATTTTTTTTTAAACTATTGACACGTCGGAAAATCTTTTTTTTTTCTACTTAAAAATTATTATCATTATTATTTTTCCCCCCTCGGGTGTACAAAAAAAAAAAAAAAATAATTTATCAGCAACTTTAAATTGAAACCTTATAAAAACTTCCATTCACGTTTTACCAACGTTTTGCTTTTTCTTTTATTGGGTTATGATTTTTTTTTTTTTTATTTTGGCACCTGACAACATTGTGTTCTGACGTGGTTTTTACTACTTTTTTTTTTTTTTTTGACAATAACAACACTTCTGACACGATTTTAAAAAGGAAAAAACATCATGCTCTACCCCATCATCATCATCGTTCAAACACGCACACACGTTTTCGACCCACATCAAAAAACAAATTACTTCCGATTTCTCTATATATATATACATTTCCTTTAAAATAATTTCCAAAAAAATTTTCTCCAGCGACCATGAGAAAAACTTACAAGAAAAGTTTACGTTCAGGAGTATTCAGGAATTTATTCCTCGTGAGATCAAACGAGAGAGAGAGAGACCTGGAATAAATTTGAGGAAAAAACTCCAACAAACAAACGCATGTAGCGGCGATTAAAAAGTAAAAAGGAAAAAAAATAGTGATGACGTCACAAAAAAAAACGCTATGATGCGAAAAGGATCGGAAAGGAAAAAAAAAAGAAAATAATAAAAACTGACGTTAACCGGAGAGAAAATTCTGGAAAGAAAAAGGAAAAGAAAAAAAAAATTTGCATTTAAAACGTATATAATAAAAATGAGTTGAAAATTGAAAATAAACACAAAACCGGTAAAATTTTCTTTACGCCCCTCCTTTTCTCCCCTCCCCCTCCGCTTCATCCCATTACCCATCCCCATCTCTCCCTCTCTCTCTCTTTTCAAAAAAATTTTAAAATCGGGTAGGCCCTTACTTTTGAAAAAAAAAAAAAGAGTCAAGTACGTGATGACGCAACGTGAATTAAGAAATAAAAAAAACGTTTGAAGAACAATAAAAAAAAAAAAAGGATCCCTTTCCGCTTTTGGGTACGGGGCCCTGGAATAAAAAAAAAAAAAAAACCCGAAAAAAAACAGGGGGGGGGGGGGGGGCAACGATCCAAAAAAAAAAAAAAGAAATGCGAGAAATTTTTTTTTTTTACTTTTTGGTAAAAAAAAAAAAATTAAAATAATAAATTGAATAACTTTTAATAATAAAAAAAAAAAAACGTGGAATTAAATAACGAATGCAAAGCAATTAATGTTGGCAGCCATGACGTGGA